ATGTGGGGGCCAACTAGGTGGTAAAGGAAGTGAGTGGGGGCCAGATATGTTAGAAGAGAAAGTAAGGAGTGAGACTCAAATAGTGTAAATTATAATGTTTTTATTTTATATTTTATAATAATAATTATTATATTAAAATTTATATCTTATCCTCAATTTACACCCCTACCTTTTTCTCACTAACAACAATTTACACTTCAATTTACAGCTCCTTAAATTTACTCCCTACAATTTACACCTCAATTTTCATCCCCCCTCTAATTTGCTCCCCCTCATTGCCATACATAGTGTAAAGCACAAAAAAATGGAGAGCAATGGCGATAACGCTGAAGCAGGAAAGAGGTGTCGACAAGAAAGAGAAGTAGACAGGTTAAGCAAACTTCCAAAACTTGTTCTCTGTCACACCCTTTATTTTCTAAACAAGAAATCCACCGCTCGAACCACTGCTTTGGCACATGAATTTTGAGACATTTGGAAATCTCTCTCTGTCCTTGATTTCCAATTTGAATTTTAAGTTGGGGATAAAGACTATTCGTTTTTCAAGAGTTATGTGGATTGGATTATGTCGGTCCGGGATATGGATGACGATCCGCCTGGGCTCTCATCAGCTTCCTGCATCTTTTTTTCTTTGTCAATGAGGATGGAGATTTTGGAACAACTCAGTTCGTCATATATGCATTACCCATGAGACTCAAGATCTGGTATCCTCTCTAACGTATAGAGACCCAGACGTCCGCTACCTTTTCTCCACTCTGTTTGGCACAAACTCGAGAGAATACGTTAAGAGTCGATGGCTATGCGATGTGCACATCGATTGAGGGTTTGCGTTCTTTAATTTTCAGAGACTAGAAACTTTGATATTGAACACTTGCCTACTTAATTTTGAAGAATGTCATGAAATCGTTTCTTTTGCCAACTTCTCATGTCTGAGTAAGTTGGTCCTTGATGAGTGTTGCGGTGCTAGGTTTGACTGGGACGATGAAGGGGTTGACTCGGACAATGACAAGGCTAGTGAGCGACTTAAAATATCTAGAATTCAGTTGCTTAGCTTGCAAATGGTGAGATGTGTGGTTGCCTGCATGAAAATAGATGCACCGAATCTCAAGTCTTTCAATCTTGAACATGAATGGTCTTGTCCCAACGTCTCCAAATTACCTCTTCCTTTCATCGATTATGTTTCTACTCAAATGATGGATGAGGACGAGTTCTTGAGTCCGGGTTACGAGGAAGAGTGGTTCCACTCTCATTTTTCAACTAAGTCACGAGAGAAGTTGTTCAACACGACCCCTACTTCCAACAACGTCGAAATATTGTGAGTCGCCTGTCATTCTTCCCCAAACAAAAGCTTACCCTTCCCGCACGTGCGTTTCACTGTCGCGTCGCTGTTCGTCTTCCTCCCTGCCAGCTCCCCCCTTCTCCTTCTCTTTTTGTCATTTTCAAGAGGATAATACCTCTGATGTCTTCTACCGGGATCTTGTTAAGCTCAATTGTGGATTCGTTAACTCATGTGTATCGAAAAAATAAACAAGATTGTACTTTGAGAGCCAATCTGCGACTTTATTCTCTTCACGATACGTATTGATTAACCTTACCACCCAAGTTTGAGCCATCAACCTTCTAATTTCCGCTAACATCATTGAATGTGGATGAACATCATTTTGTCCTACTGTTGATTAATTCTATGGCTAGCTGGCCTTATTCCAACCCCTCGTGGTAGGCGAGGAAGAGTTAACTTCTCTCAAGCCACGTGATGGAATTTGGCTTTCCCATGTCCACTCCCCATTACCATAGTGGTAAGAACAATATCACCTGCATCATAAACAAGAGTTATGTAAGGTTATACATATCAAGATTATGCACCCCATCCGCTCCCCTACACGCATGAAAGGGTTTCGTATAAGTTGTATTGCGATAATTATGTTGTATGGCCCAAACAACTGAACTCACAAAACACCTTTTAAATGTTCCACTTGTGTTTGGATTTATGTAATGTACATGGTTAAATAATGATATGCTATATTGTAGCTTTTTTATAACTAGATATATGTTGTCACGCTTAACTGTGGTCATGAGCCCATGAGCCATGACAAACTATATAATCAATCCATTGACAGAGAACTGAAAAGGAATTTGACGTGTCTATTAGTTTCTTTTTTATACGTTTAAATTTCAGATTATATTTTAGTTTAAAATCTAAATATCATTTTTGAATCACACTATTGCTTTTTTGTGAATAACTATTCTTTTATTCTCACTTCGAGTTTCAACCAAGAATTATGAAAATGTATCGAAAGTTGTACCTATGGATAATTTAGTAATATAATACTTTACGATTAAACTATGATTTTGGGAATTATGGCAATGTTAAATATGTCCATGAAAAATGATTAAATAACATGAAAATGAAAGGTTTGTTGGAATTTCGGACAAGTGTCCTCCTTTTATATATGAGTAGTAATAGTTGTTCCTCCCAAATCGGTACCCTAGCCAGCCACGATCATCAGCCGACAAATCTTCCATCTTTAACATATTGTTTCCATCAAACAGTGTAAGTAGATCATTGTCTAATACATTGTCGGTTTGATTTTTCTAAAATTTTAGATTAAGCAAACATATGATTTGTTTGATAATCTAGCTAGGGAGAGAGAAGAAAGTGGGTCAGTTAGTGTGTTGGAAATTCTTCAAATGATTCTCGGCAGGTTAACTAATATTCATTAACAAATCTGTCACACGTCCCGAATGAATCGTGCATTTGAGAAATTATCTCTTTTTGAAATTATTCATGGATAATGATGATTATCAACTTGTTAGTTAAGAAAAATAATTGAACGACTCAATCATCGTCGATATCAAAACATAGTCCTTATTTTTTTCAATATGAAATTCGAGACAACAGAATTCGCTCCTACTTGGGTTTATGGCACATATGCCCATTAGGTATCTCCCTGCAATATTGGGAGTGGTCTTGTCCCTCTATATACAATCTCTGGTTATCAAAATTCATACATCTAGGGTAGGCAACAATTCGGTTCACATCGTACCAAGTAAACCAAATTTGACGGATCGAATATATTTCCCTTTGAATTTGATTTTTAACCAGAATGAATCGAACCAAATGAACCAAACATATTTTTGTTTCAGTTCTGATCCTCATTTTCCCTTTGTTTTTGGTTCAATCCTAAATCAATTCAATCCAATTTTGAATCCAATTGACCGATGTCCGCCCTACCCTACATACAACTGTTTCTTCTTATCTCTTTTCGTCTATGAAACAATATCTTTCTTTCCTCTTCGTCTCGTTCCACTATAAAACCGTCAATCATCTCTCAATCATTGTAATTTCAAACGCATAAACCCTGATATTTGTTTACAAACTCTGAACTTTTTTGGGGAAAACTAGTACTCTAGTAGACACCTAACAACGACATCACACCATGCCAAAGAAACTATATATTTGATAAACATTCTCTCACTAGGAATGCCAATGGGTCCGGTTGAGTCGGATTTCTCTAAACTCAAACTCAACTCAGCGAGTGCACCCACAAAACAAACCGACACAATATTCACTGGGTTTTAGAAGAGAAAACTCAATCCAACCCAATGGGTGCATGGGTACCCATTGGTTCACGAACATAACCGTGCATTGTTTCTCCGAACACTCACATCATAATATTATTAAAAAAATTTCCTACGTACATATATATTTCCACAATCACTAACGACATTCATAAATTGCCCATATTATTAATTGAAATTTTATGATCTATAGATCATCCATACTGTTAAGGGTAGATGCAAAACGATGTCGTTTTGCTATTTGGCTGCGAAAGAGAGTTCGCTTTTGGCAAAACCCAAACTGACCACATCAATTATAAAAGCGGGTAAAACCATAGAACCGCGGTTCAATTGCCACTTTATCCTTAGAAAGGAAAGGTTGATGGAGATAGGGTAACTAAGATGATCAGTGCTTGTATTTCATAGGGGAACTACTAAGCAAAGTTTTTTTTGCGAGGCTTATGGCCCTTTGATACTCATGCATGCACTATAATTCGAAGGGTATAATTCTCTTTTTATGCATGCATATGCGAGAACTAGAACGGTACGTCGAAGGCTGGAAGCTAGATTTTGATTCGAACCCATCACTTCCTTTTTTGTGGGAAACAATGAGAAAGTTGCGGAAATGCATTGGTCGGATTCCAGCTAACGGTGATGAAAACGGGGGAAAGCGGCTCACGCCCACCAACGACTTCAGTTAACTTGTTTTCTTCCTCTCGGTCGTTTGAAGAATACATTTGAAAATTGATGGAAGTGTGTATCAATATCTTTACAAAAAAAGAAAATCAAATGAAACGAGGAGAAGAAGAGATCGTTCTTCATATGTTCTACGCACACTCACATTTTTCGTTTGTAGGGCTACTTGGTGGTATGTAACGCATACCTTGAGATTTTTTAATATTAGGATATCCTAGCTAGTTACTGTACCCTATAGTAACTATTGTTCTCTTTTCTTTTTTTTTTTACTTTAAAAGATATTTCGCCTTTTGGGGTTTAGCTGGAAAGCGAAAGCGAAAGCTCAAAATTGTTGTTAGATTCCTCGTGATACTCAAGAAGAAAACTTAAATCCACAAAATAAAATTAACACACTAGAATATTTGTACACAAAAGTAAACGTGATGACACTATTAGGAGTTGAATTCACCTTAAGTTCGCATATTTAGGTTTCGCATCCTCCATCCCTACCACCAGCTATACACTATAAAGTCGACTTGCCATCCTCTTCTCCAAACCAAGAAGTGAAAGAAACTCTATATCTCACCTCTGTTTTTTTATGGGAGGCCTATACTAAACCTTTCCTTTCTGTTAAACTTTTCCTTTCAGATGCGTTTATTAGTAACGCTCAGCTCATTCAAAAGAACCTCTCTTTTAGATCTTCCTTTTAGACTTAAGTTTTACCTATGAAACAATAATGGTAAAGTCAGATTGGAAGAAATTTCTTAGAACTCTGTCGAATGAAGTCAAGAACCATATGTGGCGTGGCCTCCAATGCTTCATGGTGGATAATTACATTACCCTCCTCGGACAAAATGTTTACAAAAGAGTAATAACCCTAAGATCCAAAGAGAGGATGAAAAATAAACCCAAGTTCCATTCCGTGATCCACGAGGATTCACTCTCAATTCAATCGATCTAACAGAGGAAAGCAAGCATCCCCTGTTTCTCTGCTTGCTACTGTGAAAAAAAAATGAGCCTTTTTACCCAACTCATCAAAAATAAGCCCCACAACACTACTAAAACCCTACTACATGCAAACACCTATCTATGTACAAGAAAGCTTCCACCTTTCCTCTTCCAAAATACCCTTCAACCGTCTTAGTTCCCCTGAGATAATAAGCGTGGTTCCTCCTCAGAGGATTCATGCTGATGCGGCGGAGGTGGCGGTGGTGGCATCGGCGGCGGCGGCTGGAGTTGAGGAGCAAAGGTTGGAACCGGCGCTGGATGTGCTATGAATGTGGGAATGTTGTCTCCAGGCATCAACACTGATACCCCATTTGCATACACCGTCATCTATCATAATAAACAGTTAGCAAAAGAATGAAAAGATAGAAAGAATATTGATTAGGGTTCTTTCTACTCAACTTTACTATAGTGGAACTAGGAAAGGTTTTTAAGTGGCTCCCATTTCCTATCAAGATCAACCTGAAGGGCCCTTTTGGTGTGTACTTCTTTTCGCTGTGGAGCCATATGTGTCTTGTTGTGGAGCCATATGTCTCTCAACATACCAAAGGAAGCATAAATCTAGCATCGCATATATCGATAGGGAAATTACATAGCTGATTATCCGATGAGACTGGATCGAAATTTCTGCTTCTAGCACTTCATTGTATTGGATCTTGTACTTATCTATAAACTGGATTTGATCTCCGAAAAGCCGTTTGAAGCATTAAGGTATTGTTTTGCCCTAATAAGTGACCTAGTTGTCACAAGACACTTGTGAACCAAATTTGTTGCCCCACCTAACAAGCATGTGTTTCAGCAATGGCATATGCCTTCCTAACCACCACCATTAATAACCAGTTTGGGTTGTTAGGCCTCCATTCCAAAAACATATTATTAGGAATTGGTCACTTCATAGATGAAAAATTGAAAACAAAGGGGAAAACAATACTGATCATCAAAACAGACAAGTCCTGGTTGTGTAGGGACTAGATAATGGCTATGTACCTATCTTGTTCAAGAGGTTTTTCTTTTCTTCTAGGGGCCTTACTTATTGGACAATAAGGTTGGAATCAGGGAGGTGTAGGGCCCAATTTGTGTTTCCCCCAAAGAGTACTGCACATGGATGACTAGAGCTTTGTGATATGCACCATGTTCCCCAAGTACTTTTCATAGGGATACTCTCCAAGAACCCTAATCTAAGGTCTAAATCAAACCACATGGTTCACAATCCCCACAAACTAGTACTACATTAGAGGGGCAGTTAAACATGCTACTTTTGTTTGTTTGTGATTGGAGCAAAGACATGGATGAGAAAGGAAGTAAAAGCTTCAACCCTTCAAAACTTGTCCAAAACAGATGAGTAATTCCCCTCCACAAAGCCTTTTTGCCAACCCAAAATCTGTTCTCAATTCTAGAGAAATGAAACACAAAAAGATGGGTCCTTTCTTATTCAGCCAAAGATTCATTACCCACCAAAAATGTGTACTCTAAAATGTCCCAATTGATTGGTGGGTCTTTACTCATTAACTCATCTGGAAACATGCAACCATGTGTTCTTCACCAACTCAAAAGTTAAGAACTTCAATCAAACCCAGCTTAAATTTTCTAACAAACTCTGTAAATTTTGTAACTTTTCACAAAATTACCTAAAAGAAACCAACTTTGGAGAGTTTGAACGTGTGGGTTGATGAAGTTACTCATGGCAGAGCAAAATGCAGGGGAAGGGGAGGATAAATTTGGAATGGAACGAAATTATGGGAAAAGATGAGAGCTTTTAATGGATGGAGGGGGAACACTCACTTTGGGAGAAGGGTGGCGGAGCTTGGAGTTGAAACCCATCTGGTACTCGAGGTCGCCGGTCCGTTGACCGCCGCAACCCGGCCGGAGAAACCGCTCGAAGATGGCCATGACTAAAAACATCGAGATGAGGATTGCAGTGGCGACGAACCCGAAAGACACCGCACTGACGGAGTTGTCAAAGCGTCCCAAATGGTCTTCTTGGTCCCTCTGCAGCATCATGGGCGCCCCGACCGGCGGCCAAGTAAAAACAGAGGAAGAGAAAACAGAGCTCGATGATGAAGAAACAGGGGATGAATCGTGGCCGTCTTGGTTCAGCATTGTTTCTGTGCTGATGGGGTTGGAATTGGGGAGTGGGAAAGGAGGAAAGGGGCAGAAAAATTTAGCCAATGAGGATTGGTTTCATCGCCATCATTGAGCTAAAGATGACGGGGAATTAGGGAGAAAAAAGAAACAGAGAAGTGAGTTTGGGGGAAGTGAAGGTGAAGCAGAGCAGTGGTTTGATGGTGGAGAAGATTTCCTTTTGCAAGGGGTTGGAAAGTGACTGCTGAAAAAACGAGAGAGAGAGGTTTTTGGCAGTAGTTGTGTAGGGTGAAAAAGACGAAGCAGGGGAAATTGGGGTTTGTTTTGTTTGCTTGTTTCTTTTTGGAAGTTGGAGTAGTGAAGTGATTTTGACTTTTCAGCTCTTGTGAGTTTTTCTTCTTTTTTTCGTTTCTTATATTGTACTTCTTCTCTTCTAAGACTATCCACAATGGTGGAAGGGAAAAAAGGAAAAAAAGGATGGGAAAAGTGGAAAAAAAGGATGAGAGAAGGATAATGGCCACAATAGGTGGTAGGGAAAAAAGGGTATTGAGGAGGGGTTTTTTTTTCAAAATCAATCTAGAGTTGATATGGTAACTTTATTTTGATAATTTATTCATTATTTTTATATAGGTAGTATTAATTAATTAAGACGAACATTTCGATATAATTTTTTTTCAATTTGGACATAAAAAAATTTATCACTAAAATCCAATAACTCATAAAAATCCAATAAGAAAACCATAAAACAATTTTAAAAAAAAAAAAAAAAAAAAAAACCCACCCACATGGTCCCCCCTTCCCTTCCTCCTCCCACCCACCTGGACCCACTTCCCCTCCTTCTTTTAACCTCTAGCGCAGGATAAACCCTCCCCTTCTTTCCCTTTTATCCTTTTTTTCCATAATACCCACCCCTATTGTCAGTGGCGTAGCCAGACTTTCTATAGACTGGGGTCCTAAACCTTTGTAATAGCTTTATATTTACGCGCATAGCTCTGCAAAAACCTATAATGGGGTCCTAAACTTATTTTTGTTGTCTAACAATGGGGTCCTAAACCATAAAATCACATTTTGAAGGCCATATTCATACTAATTTTCCCCTCCTTTTCTTGCCAAGTGGGGTCCTGGGACACCAGTGCTAAAGCCCTCCCTCCGCCACTGCCTATTGTGAGCCATCTTCTCCTTTTTTCCCCTTTTATCCTCTTTTTCCCTTCTTGTTGTGGACAGTCTAAGAATATTACTAAAGTCGGTTTTTATGTAGTTACAATCCTCTATAAAATCGAATGGTATTGACGGTATTGTATCGGTATAGTGTTGGTTGAATATATTGTTTTATTAACATAGATATTATAACGGTATATTATTGATTGAATATCAGTAAAATATTATTTCGCTAATTTGTCACACAAGACCTCCAGTGATTTTACAAACCATTTGATATAAGAGTTTCATTTGTGATTGCAAATATCAAGCACATCTTTCTTTTTTCTTAGCCACATTGTTCATCATTGTTCCAACATACAATATAGACGGAGCAATACATGATAGGGCAATACTCCAATTCAAGGAGATAAGAAATCATCGTCACAATTTCACAACAACTCTAACACAAGACTTTTCGATATAGAAGATGCTTAATAATATCTCCATGAGTGTCAATGCACATATACTGCCAAATCAAAATTGCAATCATATCTCGGTGCGATAATTAAAACTTGGAATTGTGACTGTGACAAATCAAGAGATCAACATAATTATTTTGGTTGAAGAATCGTTCAGATATGTGTTTAAGGAGAGAATCAAAGAAGATAGTTTAATTATGCAAATCATAGATAGAACCAAAAAAAAATCACATTTATATTTCATGTCACTCTCCAGTCAAATAATAACTCTCATCAAAATTGATTGGAGTAGGTTGAGCTAAAAGCTTTGTGATTCTTAAACAGTTAAACTTCTATTAATTCACACATAAGGTAATGCATTGTTATATAAAATAATTCTTTAAATGAATTCTTTACAAGAATTAGTCCATGTGTTGTTGTTTTCTAATAGGAGTTAATAATATTTATCTGCACAATAGTACTTTGCCCATTTTAAAGACCTACCTTAAAGTTAGAGGGACACATAACATGCAAGGATTGAACTCTTTGATCACCTTGCCCCCTCCTCACTAATGTAGAGGGACATCATCACATTATTAATAAGAAAGTCCAAATAGACATTTATTTATGCTAGTTATGGGGGGGAAACATATATAAAAAAGAGGGAGCCTATCTATATTTGATGAAACGGACTAGTGAACAGTGAAGACATCTCTAACAGCCTGTTTGGATTGACAAAAAAGTAAGGAATTGGAATTCCATTTCCAATTCCATTTCCATATATTATGTTTGGAATAATAAAAAGGTTGAGAATTGAATTCCAATGGGTCTAAAATATGGGAATTACAATTCCTATCAAAAGTGATAGGAATTGAGAGAATGAAGATGGAATTAGTGGGACCCATCAATACTTTTTATTATTTTGTTGACCCACTATCATTTTACTCTCTTTCTCTCTCATTCATATTTCATTTCCCAAAATAAAACAAACATATTACATTATTCATTATGGTTAAAAGTGCAATTCATTTCCATAGTTGTAGGAATTATACCAAACACTAGAATTGGAAATGGAATTCTATAAAAATAAAAAATTGAATTCCATTTCCATTTCCATTTCTTCTGGAATTGTATCCAAACAGGCTGTAAAGAGAAGTTGTTTGAGTTGCCCATATCCCCCCACCTGGCATACACTACTTAATTCGGCTTGAGTTGCTTCATTTGCGTCGTGTATCAGTGTTATCGGAACACCATCAGTAGAACTGTAGTTTTGTTCCTGTAGCAATAGCACATACATGGTACATAATCACATGATTTTACATATTCCAACAATTCACTGCCGTAATGGATTCACACAGCTGGATGCCTGGATGTAACTTGCCGGTAACACAGAAATATGTATGGAATCGAGCCGACATTAGACGAGCACAGACAATGTTCATGTAATGAATCAACACTAAGCACGACAATGTGGATTGATTCAACCTAGTTCAACACATATCACTAGTGAATCCGTGACAACTAAGTATCAGAGATACATGATTTTCCATCTTTTATTCTTTTATTATTCTTTAATTATTTTTCCCACTCTCCTTTTCTGTTGCTACATTCATGGGAAGTGCCTACGTGCACCTACTTCTTCTCCTGAAACCTGTATATTAAGAGAACAGAACAATCAATAAGAATCAAGTTAGTTCTCCCAATATTCCAAAATCTTGCAACCTCTTTCATGGTATCAGAGCCTAGAACCAAAAGGTCATGTGTTCGAATCTCCACGACCCCCAATATTAACCGTTGTCTTTCAAGCACATGGTATGGTGGGCCTGTGCAAACTTCAAGCCCATGGATTGGCTTTCGTTTGAGGGGGCGTGTTAGAGTGTGGTATAAGATCCAGCATAACCTTCTCCCAACAACTCGAGTTATTGGGATCAATTGGTTCTTGACACTAAGCTGTCCTATTTCCCTGCCTATACATATTCTTTGTACGAACCAAAAAAAATGCAAGATGAACAGGAGACAAAGGGACATGATTATGAATAAGTGATGACTTGACAATTGAGAAAGAAAGGGGTTTGTTGGTGAATTATTGATTGAACCAAATTAAGGAACTACATATTATTATTTGATGAAATGGAACCCTAATTTAATAACAAAATAAAACTATCGAGCTCACATGCAGGCTGTCGATGCATGCGCCCCATGTTCCCTTCTATTCGTCCAAGGTCCCCTGTTCTTCTCGTGCAACTTTTTGACACGTGTAGTCCATCTATATGTACTGCCATTTGGCTAATAGGATGGCAATTTGAATCTGTCCTACTAAGTATTACATGATTTGGTTTACGTCCGGATGAGTACTACGCGACAGTAACGTAGGGCGGGACATAAGACAGTATGTACTACCTGTCCCGTTCTGTCAATTTCTTGACCTGTTATATCTCAATTTGTCTCAATATTTATTCTTATTTTTCAATTTTAGCATATCTTCGGTCATATTTTCACCCTGTGATGAAACTTTATCTAGACAACTAGCTAGACCTTTTTACTCATTCTATTATCACAAATTTTCATTCATAGAGTGTTTTCCTCTTGCTTTATTGTAAAAAAAAGTTCTCATTTATAATTTTATACTATGTTAGAATGGACCGACCCGTCCCGTATCTGAATAGGTATTACCTGACCTAATTCGTACTTGGTGCGGGGCAGGTATGGGTTGAAATACCCACCTGCCCGGCTGCCCCATTCATTTCTCATCATTACATGTGGCACAAAGACCATTCGCTAGTGAACATTTTTTTCGTTTAGTAGTACTGTCGGTAGTTCTCAAACTCAACGTTTCATATACGATTCTCGAAGGTAGCACCTAAGCGATCGTGAAATCTCTCTGTGTCGTGTCAAGATATTATAAAATTATAAATCAACATCTCTAACTGAACTAAAAAAACTCAAATTATTGAAACCAATTAGTTAATTTTTTTCATTAATAATTAGGGATGGCAAAAATATCCGTAACCGTGGATATCCACCCGAATCAGACCTAATCGGGTAGGGTAAAAACCGAACCCGAAGCATTTTTCGTGGGTACGGGTAAAACCCGAACCCGAATATTGCAGGTAATGGGTGGGCATGGTTATCTCACTATCCAACCCGAACCCGCCCGATTATACACATGCATATGTATTTTGTCTAGAAATAATCATTATGTTTCTCTAGAATATTTTATATTTAGCATATAAATATAATATTTTCATGAAATTATGTTGTTTTAATTAATTTTGTCATTCGAGTTAATTATTGTCGTACTTTTCCTCTTACGTAATGTGAGTATACATGTGAATGTTAACATATTGGTTGGAATTATAAGGAGAAATTATTACCCATGGATAACCGTGGACACCCGAAACCCGAACGGATATGGGCATGGTTTTGATTTTCTACCCATTTCTCGTGTGGGTACGGGTATGGGTAAAACCCGAACTACATTGGATAGGGTAACGGATATGCACTATCCGCCCCCGACCCAACCCATTGCCATCCCTATTAATAATGTGCCACTCTGACATTTAAAGTTACATGGACCGATAATACCTTGTAGCTACAGTAAAACCACAATTAACTTTCTACTAGTAATTAGTTATTTTTTTCCCCTCACCTCCCTCCCGAACCCGAAGCAAGCAAGTAGCAGTATCCCACGCGTGCAAAGCGTAACTTTCGCACGTTCGGAAGATGAAAATTTTGACCCAGCAGAGGTTCGTGGGGGATAATGGTACCCGGAGTGGGCCGAAAAATCTGTGGGCCGAGTTTGATGAGACAGGTCAAGTGGGCCATAAATGGATTATTATTGGTGGCTCGTGCTCGGTAAGTCTAAACTCATGGAGTCACGTGAAACCATTTCCTTTTCCCACCATCTTTTTTTCTTTCTTTTTTCTCTTTTTTTTTTTTACAAAGGGATAACTTGCATTGCACTTTGAATGATCAATTACAAGAGAACCAACAGAGCAAACTAAAAATAGAACAAGAACAGAAAAACAAAAGCACATAGATGCTCAATCTGAGCTTCAGAAATACAACAAGAAGAGCACAAAACCCAGAAGGAGCTATCCAACAAAGGATCTGAAACACTTGAACCAGAAGCAGTAAACACCGAAAGCTCTTTTGCAATCAAAACAAACAAAGTAGCACCAAGCGCAATCAGCTCGTCCGATCCGACCGAGTCCATGACGATTGAACACAATGCCATAAGCCGCCTCCTGGGAGTCGCTCAAAGACGCTCAACACAGTGAATCACGGGTGAGAGATTACATGGCGGTGGACAGAGATGAGGATCGAAATGCTCCGAGCTGAAGAGGCAGGGGAAGACGAGGCTCCAAGACTTAATCAAGGGAAGCAGAAGAACCCAGATCCCCAGATCAAAGAACTGAACCCACGAGCAGCAAGGCTAGACTCTGCAATCCATCCTCCGTCGGCCACCTAGATGCAGAACAACCACCTGGGAAGAACGAAGGGGAAAACCAGAGAATCGATTTACCACAAAAGCTGATAAACCGACCATCATGAGAGAAGACCCAGGATGCATAACCCAGCCCCAAAGGAGAGCAAATCCCAACAAAAAACCCTAAACAGGGGAGCGAAATGCCAAGTATGGCTTGAAAAGCTTGAAAGCTGGAAAAGCAGAGTGGAAAACCTCAAAATCAAAGACAAGGAAGCAAATAAAGAAGAAAGGAAAGAGGATGGGCTACCGCCGGTCACCAAGAGATGCCGGCGGTAGCCCTGGGGAGCTTCACGGAGAGGGGAAAGGTAGAGAGGGATGAGAGCAAATTTTTGAATTAAAGTTAGAGAGAGAGCGAGGAGAGGTAATGGAACTTTTTTTTTTTCTTCTTTTTTCTCTTTGGTGCGTCGCTTTCTCATATTTTCATGACACATAAAAGCACTTTCTTTCTCTCTCTCTCTTTTTTTTTTGGTGAAACACTTTCTTTCTCTATTTCCAGGCAAAATTATACATTGCAAAGAGGAAAAGAATTCATTTTATATCTAGGGTTTAGATTCGGATTGGATTCTGGGTCACAATACATAATGTTAGGGCGCATGAGAAATGATAATAGTAACATTTTACTAAAGGGAGTTTAGGTATGATACTCTTTTGTCGGATGATCTATTATTCAAATTGTTCACAAATCCATAATATAGTGTACATTCACACGATTCTATATGTTTCAAACGATTTATTATTCAAAATGACATATTCAGATTACGTGATAGTTTTAAAATTCGAATTTTTTTTGTGATGGTTTGTGAACGTGACCACTCGTATGATTGCGTTGTGAACATGAAATCATTGTTTTGTTATATAATTCCACTCATGTGTGCATATTGTGATCGTCTAGTGCATGTACCTACATCAACATAGTAAAGCTCTTAATATATACTGATATAAGGAGTAAAACTCTAACAAGGGGCTTGATACAAGAAAAAAATTTATCAGTTACAATATAACATGTGTAGCACTCAAACATGTCAGAGTCCATCGATATGTAAGCTCTCAACTTTAATTTTTAACAATCAACGCCGCCGCTTTAACTTACTTTACTTCTCAAGTTTTCGACAATGGTCAACACGATTCAACGTTAAGCAAATAATTTATTTCCCGATCGTCAAACAACTTTTGGATTTTATTGTTGATGCTCTTCTGAATCCTCTTCGGACAATTCATCTACCAAGGTCAACTCCATTGACATGATTATTTCTTCTAATTTAGCAGGAAAACCTTCATGGATTGAATGGAAAAACAAAGACTAAATCTTCCATTGAAACAAAGGGACAATCCTATACTATTAAAACTCAGACTCAATTAAAGTTTAATTCAATTCTAGACTTAGATTAGCAAACATAATCATTGCAAGTTTCAATCTATTGTGTCGGGGATAACCAAACTTGATCATTATGATTGCCATCAAACAAGACTAGTTTTGGGAAGATCAACAAGATAAAAAGTAAAGGGAATGTCACTTCACTTGGCTTCACTAAATTTGTAGCTACGTGCTTTCGTTGAAAGAGGAAATTGGATTCCATGTCTTCACAAAACTATAGAAGCTTATAGTTTGGGTAAATGACACATTTGGTCACTGAGATTACTAAATCGTGTCATATTTAGTCACTAGAAAAATTTAATATCAATTTTGGTCACTCGAATTACTGACACAGGTCACATTTGGTCACTCTTCTGTAGCCTCTGTCCAACTCCGGTCACTCGAATTATTGAAAAATGTCACATTTAGTCACTCGTATTACTGAAACATGTCACATTTAGTCACTCTCCCAAAAGTTTCCGTCCAACTACATTAATGGAGTTGGACGGAAACTGACGGGAGAGTGACTAAATTTGACCAGTTTCGGTAATTCGAGTGACCAAAATTGATATTAATTTTTTCTAGTGACTAAACATGACACAATTTAATAATCTCAGTGACCAAATGTGTCATTTACCTCTTTTAGTTTGTTTGTAGTTCTAACCGAAAATTAACAAGAAAAAGCACAAGGAAATGTTGTGGTTTATATTCGAGGGATAGATGCAAACTGTGGAATCAAAACATAGTTCAAACCGAAGGACATCAATGTTAAGGATTAACAAAAGATGACTTCTTAAGAAATTCGAACCACACAACAGTGACTACATAGCTCTTTTTTCCCTTCCTCCTCAATGGGCTCCATGTTCGTCCATTCACGGCTCGTGGCTGACGTGTCGAACACGCACACTCTGGACATCGTACGTGGCAGCTCCTCGAGCATCTGAAACCCACCCATAAAATAGAGTCGGGACCCAATTGGCGCCATGGTCAGGTACAACCGCTGGACAAGAGAACTGCAAGTTTGCAGGTGCGATTTATCCACAACGTTCCACATGTTCATGTCTCCATCGTACGACTCGATATGTCCCTTCCACGGTTTCAAGCAGTCGCCGGAGCTGAACAACGTTTCGTTGGCTGCAACGATCTGGTTAGGTGGCACGTCCAGTTGCCACATCCCCACCACCACGTGCCACTTGCCCGTCCTCGTGTCGTACACCTCAGCCGAGCTCCGCTCCACGATGAACGATTCTATCCCCTTCCCCGAATTGTGATCTCCTCGAGACGCGAACCCTCCAATCACATAGATCTTCCCCTGCCACGTCACCCCGACACACTTGTACCTCATGACACTCATGTCAGGCAACGGGCTCCACTCGTCGCGCGCAGGATCGTACACCTCACCGGACGCCACTCCATGCGTGCCTGCCACGTCGAACCTGCCTCCAGCCACGTAGATCCTACCATCGCACACGCAGCACGCGAAGCAACAGCGCGGCTGGGACAACGGCCCGCACCGGGCCCACCGGTCGCGCCCCACGTCGTACCTCAGGACGCACGACCGGATCTCGAGGTTCGCCTCGATAAACTCATCATCCGTCCCGTCCTCCACCACGTGGTGGACCATGGACCTCTCCTTGCGGACCACGCGTCCGCCAATGATGTAGATCGAGTCTCCCAACGAGACCATGGCAAAGTCCTTTAGGACGCAGTTTGGGCCCAGCCCGGGTATCGGGCCCATGTGGGTAAACCCGTTGCTTGATGGGTCGTAACACTCGATCCAGTTGGAAGTTGTGTCGTTGCAGAAGGAGGCGTAGATGCGGTGGTCGGACGGCGGCGGCTGAGAGGGTGCCGCCGGCGCCCGGCGAGCTCGCGACCGAGGACGCGTCGGAGAAGGGACGGAGCCCATTTTTCTTAGTGAAATTTCGTGGAGGGGATATTTGTTAACTTGAAATAATGTAATGTGTGATGAAACAAATGTGGTTTGATGAAGCAATTGGGAATGGCGGGGGAAAGATATAAAGAAAGGCCGGCGGAGGAGACGAAAACGATTGGGCTTGTTGGCATCGAACGGAAGAAGAAATGGAAACCAAATCTTATCGTCGAGATTTAAATGGAGGTGAAATCTAGGCTTGTCAATTGTCACCGTCGACGCCTATGATAATCTTTCGATAATGTCACTACTCACTAAACTTGGTTTTTGCATTAGTATGATGCAAAAATTCGAAATGGTAGCACAAGAAGTTATCAAATTTCTTAATTTGGTCACTAATATTGTCGATTATTAGAGTCAGCCAGGTTGTTGTCAATTTATTACAAGATGAAGTGAAGTGACTAATTTGTTAGGTTGCAAAGTTTGGCAACCATTTTGTTGCAAGCATCAAAGTGTAGTGAGCACTTAGATTTTTCAGTCTATAAATAACGTTTCGTTAAGTTATTCGTAGAATTACGATCTCCAAATAATTCAAGTAAGAAACTGCTATTTAGATATCTGATTCATCGATTTTTCGGACATGGTATATTACCTCTGTCCTTAATAATCAAAATATTGATTCTACTTCTCTCAATCTTATACACTAAGTTGAATTTATTTCGAATTCTTTGAAATAGATCCAACATACTACATGCACCGTCTTAGGGTTTAGTGCTTAAAATTTAGAGAATTATGGTCTAGGTTTCATCGATTATTAGTTAGGGTACATTAATATGCTCCAAATTCTAATTAATTCGAATTCTATGAAGCATTTTCTTACTAAAAGTATACGAAATATCCTGGATTTACAAAAGTTATGATAAAAACCATCATACATATGGGTCATACTACTATACTTTTGGAATATATGATGATGTTTCAGGTACTCTTATTGAGATATATTTATCTAGACCATAAATTAAATAGATTTTGGGATATGATATTATACACTAACATTCAATGGATAAACCCCATATCCAGATTCTCTAAACCCAAATACGAAGTTCAATTTAATATAAAACAATAATTGACTGATCAAATTGGTCGGAACTCATCAAAATACATCGATTAAACTTTCATGCTACACTCTTGAAGTATATCAGTCTGTTATAAACGCGCTGCTACGGATCGGGAAATCGCCGGAATCGACAAAGCAAGAATACGAAAGCGAGAATCGAAAACACGACACACGATTTACGTGGTTCACTAACACGATGTGTGCTAGCTACGTCCACGGGCGAGAGAGAGCCAGTTTTACTATATCGAGGAGATTACAGATTACAGAGGAGTATGAGAAGTTTTTATAGTACTTCTCCATGTGGGTCTAAACCTAATCCAATCTGACAAAGGAAACGGTTACAGACCAGGCCCAGAACCCGAACCCAAATAACATTGAGCCCATACACCGTAGGTCGGGGGCGTTGCCCCCGCACCCCCCACCGGGGCGTTGCTCCTGGACCCCACTCGCTGATAGTCCGATTCAAGTCATATCAACATAGTCTTTACATATGCATAATATTGGAATGTTAACTCGTGATTGTATATGTACGATAGAGCTGTTTTTATTTTATTTTGTAAAGGCACGATAGAGCTTCATTATATTACACTACTTTTACAATTATACTTGGGTTCATCGTTGGAAAGGAAAGACAGAATATTTCAGCGGAGGATTCAAAGGCGCCGGTGGAACTGAAAACCGGCAAAAAGTGCGCAACAGACAAGAAAAGGAACATCTTGATCTTGTTTCTTCAACTTGTTAAGTTCATTTTTTTTACCCAATTTTACAATGAAGATATTCCGATGTATGCCCCGATTCAACATTGCATGGAAATGATCGACGTGACTAACCTAGGATGCTGCAATGCTTAACGCTATCGGTTTGCTCATTTTTCGTGGCAACACGTTTTTGTATACACATTGTTTGCCGATTATAAATTTGTAATACCACCAGTTTTGAACTTGGAAGTCACAGGTTCGAATCTTTTAAATAGTAGATAAACAATAAAAAGTAAATATATATCAACCTTAACTAAAAAAAACGAACAAGGGTTTGGTGTAGTGGTAATACCACTAGGGTAGAACCTGGAGGTCCCAGATTCGAATCACTTAAGTAATACCTTAATCACAAAAAATAAAACCTATATCACCCTTATAAAAAAAATTATGTCGATGCAGAGTGGCAGTCATAATGTACAATGATTATGTTGGATTGCTTAATGGCTCCTCCATAAACCAAAGACTCCTAATGGACTAGATTTTTTAACCAACCTATCTAGACTTCGTGCAGAAATCAACAATCGATATTGATAAATGTCCAAATTAAAAGTTATGCCTCTCGATCAAAAGACTTTAATAAATCATATGAAGGTTCGGTCATTACAATATATACAACTCTTTTAAAGTAGATAAAGAATGAAAATTGTATGAATTTCATTTTCTCCATCCAATGGACAGAATTGAGTTGGGGATATGTGGCTGTTTTACTTGATTTGTTCCCCTAATAACAAACTTAGTTAATTAATTACAATGGAAAAATAATAAGTCGATCGAATATTTCTTTCCCTTTCCATGTTTCCGCAAAAGCACCTTTTCTTGTTTACTTTGATCGGGTTTATCGAAGTTTAAGCTTAGGTAAAACACAATAAAAGATACTAAAAAACTAAGAACGCCAAAACTAAGGACAATGATATAAGATACAAAGTGCAAATAACTTGGAATATACTTTTTATGGTGGCAAATGATAAATGCATGGTCGGTTTTAAGATAGACTGATTGTTGATTTCGAATTCACTTTAGTTTTCGTATAAGTTATTAGCTATATGAATGGTAATGGGATGGGTTTGTGTAAGTCATTCTCATTCTCATTTTTAAATATCCAAATTCATACCCGTCTCATACTCGTAGGGAACGGTTTTGAAACTCATCCACATACCCGTGGGTTTCGGAAACTGTGAGTAATACATGTCTTATACATCCAACACTATTATACCTAACATTTTACATGTGAAATTTAAATGATAACACTAAACGTACCTAATTAAAATAGTTCAAAACATATTATCTTAAAATATCAATTAATCCACATGATAAAGTACAATATTATTCAAATCATTCATCTTCGACGCTGATACATCTAATAATCAATAAATAAGCTAACATAGTCTTGTTCATGAGGTGGAAAAGTGAAAGAGTGTAGGGAGAATTGAGGTAAATGTTTATGTTTTGGTTTGTGTGGCCACTTAATTACTTTTTTACTAATTATCTTCTTAAATTACCATCACTATCATTTAAAGGTTACAATTAGATTCTTGTATTTTTTAAAAGTGAATAAATATGCTTGGTGGAGCAGATATGGATATGGGGCGACGCAAGGTTAAAACCATACCCGTCCCATACTTATCAAGTTTTTTTATTTTATTTTACTTATACCGACCCCATACCCAATAAATGGGAGGATTCCCCGCGTTGATTGGGTCGGGGACGGTCGGATACCCACCATCTTGAGTTTGATTGTCATACCTAATCAACTAAAAATTGGAGGTATTACGTAGGTTGTTTAAATTGAGTCGCTTATCATCAAATTGAGTCTGACGGCCATTATAATTTGAAAATTTATAAGGAAAGTCTTTCATAATCGACTATGACCAAATAGCAATTTAAAAATTTAATACAAGAAAAGAAAAATGGAGAACAAATCTATATGACATAGTTAGCCTACACATGCACGTGAATATTATTAGTACGAATGTATTGTACATGATGTTTAATGGTGGTGGAGTTAGTTTAAAGCCGAGGCTATAGTCTCACTTAACTTTGAGATATTTAAAAAATAATAAGTGAAATTTGTAACAAATTTAAGAAAGCAGAGTAATTAATAAAGTTTTACCTTCTTCAATTATTACGATTCAAATTAGCCCTTCGTTCGTATTTCTGACTTCGTCGCCGGTTCAGTATATACAGAATTAGTGATTATCCAGCTTCTAAAGGATAATTTATGTATAATTTGTTCGTACTATTTTGGGGTTACCACTATGTCTCCAAACCAAGGCTCGAACCCTTCGACTTGAAGAATTTGGGGAAGGAAGGGTGAAAGGTAAAAAAATGGAGCAGACGGGTAAAGTTGAGTTGGATGTGTCGAACCTCCACATCGCAAACGAACCCCACGGTCGTTTTGGGCTTGGCTAATATTAGAAGGGAATCATGGGCTACATGATGTATGGCCCAATGTTTTAACGGGAAGCCCATTTTACGATCCGCAAAAACTGCTTTGCTTACCCATGAATGATTAGGCAAGAACCTAATGACAAAAAAAAAAAAAAACCCCCCACTGAAAATGATTGTAACATTTTATTTAGGCCAATCTCAAATCAATAAAGTACATAAAGATCTATAAATAAATCGAAAACCATTACAAAAAAAGTTCGAGTTCATTTAACTTCATATTTTTGTATCTTACCGCTATTAACAAAAATGTCTCTTGGAAGTCGTTTGTTTGTGCATTTACAAAATGAATTATTTGGCTAAATATAGACATTTGAAAAATGTATCTATTTGATAATGTATATATTTTCAAATGCGTTATTTGAGAAAAAGTTTTTAGACGAAACATTTTTTAGTTAGCCATTCGTGTAATGCTGCCATTTTGGCCTTAGGGTAAGATGTTTCGTTTTCTTGTATTTTATCATAATAACTAGGATTGGAAATGGGTGTTATCGATATCTCAGTAACGAACCCTGAATACCAAATAGTCTCATAAATTTAATCTCAATCCAAAATAAATTCGTTATCTCAATCCCTAATGTTCTGTGCGGTATCATTATATACCAAATATCAAAATAATTCCCTTCAAAATTACCAATCAATTATTTAAAAGCAAATACTTATCTTGTGCCATCAACTCCACAAAACATTCCTAGAATATATAAAAGCAAACAATT